AGCATGTTGAGGTTCTGAGCAATCTGTGGTGGTATCAAAGACCTAGATGCACAGAGTAGCTGAGGTGAGATTTTTGTGTGCTGGTCCAGTGTGCAGCTGTTTGCTTACTTCAGATGCCTGGTGCTGTCTGTTAGGATGTTGTCTTAGAGCTGGAGTTCGAAGGTGTGAAGGAGAAGTTCACTATGGTCCAGGTCTGGCCTGTACGTCAAGTCCGTCCTGTTACTGAGAAGTTACCAGCCAATCATCCTTTATTAACAGGCCAACGGGTCCTGGATGCCCTCTTCCCGTAAGTACTACCTTTTATTTTCTAGTATGTGAGAAATCTCTCTTTGGGGGGGGATAGGTGAAGGGAGCAGGCCTTTTTTTTTTTTTTTTTTTTTTTTAACAGGCAAACAGACCCCAAGCTTTTACTATGTATCATAGTATAATCTCAAAAAATATTTAGCCTGATTCCTCATAATTCTGTATGTGGCAGGAGAACCTACTAGTGGAAGAAGGAACATAAGTTTAAGAAGATAGTTCTAGTGCATTAATCTAGAAAAGAATGGACAAGTATAAACTTAACATAATCATGCCAAATCTATGGAAAGGCTGAAAATTTAAAGCTTGTTATCTCCATTTGAACACATAAGTAGGATCTCTTTCCATGATTTTGAGGATGTGTAGTTCCCAATGATTTGGGGATTGTCACTTATGAAAACTGTTGCACTTAACTGTAACACAGAATGCTCACTTAAGCAGCTAGCTTCCAAGACACTGAATTCGGTCATTTTGTTCCTAAAATATTATGCTGATTATTCTTATAATGTACAGCTAAGTACAGTTGTTCTTTTCTTAGCCTTTGCATTCCATTGGTGCTTCCAGCTGTGAAAACTGCTGTTTCAAGCCAGAAAGTCTAGCTGTTGTACCGGCATAGCTCAGGTACTTCAAGGACAGGAGAATAAAAGGATAGTTTATTCCCTTAGTCTTTTGGTTTAGTGAAATACCTTTGTGCTTCTCACCCAGAACACTGAATGTGACTCCTGTCGCTCTACTTTTAATCAGGGAGTTTTATTGGAAAACATATTCTAAGATGAAAGAGAGCTGGCTTTGAGTTCCTTGCAAATCAGAGTCCTTTTTCTTTACTCAGGTGTGTACAAGGGGGTACAACAGCGATTCCTGGGGCATTTGGTTGTGGGAAGACTGTGATCTCTCAGTCTCTCTCAAAATACTCCAATAGCGATGTCATCATTTATGTAGGCTGTGGAGAACGAGGAAATGAAATGTCTGAAGTGCTGAGAGATTTCCCTGAGGTTAGTATGGAAAATTCATGGAGACTAAACCTTCTTGGGAAGACTTGCTATTGTACTGGTGTTGTAACTGGATAAAATATCATATTGGTAGAGTGACTTGAAATTATCTTCTTGCCTGCCTGCTCTAAGTTCTGGCTGTAGTAGCAGAAATCCCTTTTGGCTCCCTCAGGAATGGTTTTGTGGCCCCTCAGTAAATGTCTGGACTAGTTTTTGGGTGTACCTTCTAATTTGTTTAAAATAAAGCTAAGAAGAATGCCAGGGTGTAATTTAGCACAGTTATAAGCACCTTACCTTTCTCTGGTGATGTCTCTAACTTTTCTAGCTTAACCATGCATAGCAAATGCAGCATTGATATTTACGGGGTGCAAGGTGGTGATACAGTTACTGGATACTAGCTTGACACGTTAGGCTTTGGAATATCTTCTGAAGGAAGTAGAAAATGTCTGGTTTAAAAAAAAAAAAAAGGCAACAGGTTTATCAATCCTTCTACCTACTGTTAGTGAACTAGTTGTGGCACAGTCTTCTGTAAAATATGGGAAAGAAGTTAGTCTGAACTGTTAGGTTGAAACTCCACTGTCAGAAATAAGGGGTAAAAGGCTGGGGCGTGTTGACTGATTGATTACAAGATGAGAAAGTCAAGCTGAGGTGGCCATGAAAAAGGCAAATCCCAGGATATTTGAAGTGGAATTCTGCACAAACGTCAGCATGTGCATTCTGTTGTTCGGGTGCTTGTGAGGCTTCACCAAGGTTATGTCTGTGGTTTTATGTCCAGTTGCCAAAGACAAACTTGGATCTATGTAGATAAGGGGGAAAAAAAGCTCTCTGATTCCTAACAGATTTGTGGCAGGAGGCTAAGATTTTTTGACTCTTCCAGCCTAGTAAGCTGAGAGAGGATAACGTACTTCCTGATGCAGTGGATTTGTCATTAGTTATTTGAATGAGATAAATAGGAATTTGCCAGTTGCAGAAGATGAGATGAGGCTGAGGCACGTACATTAAAGAGTTAAGCTGTGTGCAGCCTGAAAGGCAAACCAGCATAGTATGTTGAAATCTTGAATCTAGTCTCTGCTCTTGGTAGAGTAGCTGTGAGGAGAGTATCCTGATACAAGGTGAGTAATACAGTAAAACAAAACAAAACAAAAAAAACACAACCAAAAAAAACCCAGAAAATTGTGCTACTGTTACCTTTTTCTTTTCTTGCATTTTTAGTTAACAATGGAAGTTGATGGCAAGGTAGAAAGCATCATGAAGAGAACAGCTCTGGTAGCAAATACCTCTAACATGCCTGTGGCTGCCAGAGAAGCCTCTATCTATACTGGTAAGATTTACAGGAGACTGGAAAAGGCTGTGTGTGTAGAGCAAGCCATCACGCTCTAGTAATTTCAGTTTCCGAGATGGTCAGTACCAAGAAACCTGCTTAGTTTCAGAAGTCAACGCTTTTGGGCCTTGCTTGCACGAAGTCGTAGTATCTTAGTTGAATTTGGCTTGCTTGTATATAATTACAACTTCCAAATATTGAGTAAATTTTGTTTATAAGGTGAACTTACTGCACCAGCTGTCATGTAGTTTTTCTCCATGTGTTAATTATGTAAGCTTTTGTTTGTGAATAGCTTTTTGCTGACAAGTACAGCCATTTAATGGGCAGGAATAATACTATCTGAGATGGCAAGCTGGTCTTCTTTCCTTTGCAGACTCTTGGAGGTCTTTGTTAAATTCTTTTTTGTGACAGATAATTAAGATAAAACATGACCTCTTCTCATTGTTATATTCTGGTAGTTTGAAAGGGAAGGAGACATTTTACAGTACGAAAAGGCTTTGTTCGTGGTTTCAGTGAGACAGACTAGCATCAGTGACATTGCTGTGTCTCTTCAAAGAAATACATGGGAATGTAAGATAAGCCAGAGTGGTTCATAGGCAAAAATGGGGAGAGTGAGAAGAAATAAACAAACAAAAAAAAAAGACAGCAAGGGCATGATCTGGTAGGAAGAAAGAATGACTTTCAGTGCTGATTTCCATCAAAATGTAAACTTAAGTAACTTATTTGCATCTTAGTGACAACATACAAGCATAGAATTCCTTTCTGAACTGTATCCTGCAGCACGCTGTTGTGTTTGTTCTAGGAATCACTCTGTCCGAGTACTTCAGGGACATGGGCTACCATGTCAGTATGATGGCAGACTCTACCTCCCGATGGGCTGAGGCCCTCAGAGAAATTTCAGGGCGACTGGCTGAAATGCCAGCTGGTGAGTAGCCTTTTCTCAGTAAAGCCTTTTCTCTTGTAAATGCATCCATCCTTTAAACTCCGAGCCTTTGACTCAATTTCTGTGTGTTGGTGTTTGCAGACAGTGGTTATCCAGCCTACCTTGGTGCCCGTCTAGCCTCTTTCTATGAGCGAGCTGGCAGAGTGAAGTGTCTGGGAAATCCTGAAAGGGAAGGCAGCGTCAGCATTGTCGGAGCGTGAGTGTCGCGTTTCTTTGCTTTGCGTTGGCTGCAGTTCTTCCCCTGTGTTTTTGTGTGTCAAAGTACCTGTTTTTCAGACAAAAAGGTCGTCTTGTTCTGTGCAGCTGCAGAACTAAAAATATGTGAATGAGTAGGTAGATATTTAGTCTCTGTACACTCAGAACTGCCGCTAAATTGTGCGTGGGGGCAGAAAGAATGAATGTGGACAGGTCATTCTGTGAGGTGTGGAATCACAGTCACTTGCAGCAATGGAGCAAATGGTTCAGGGAAGAATGTCGTTAGAGCTGTCACTGAAAATTATGTCACACCATGCTCAGAGCAAGAAAGAAGGGGCAGTTAGACCAGCGGAGTGTGCACCTGGGGGCATAATGAATTGTGAATCTCTTGCTTAAATAGAGTAGAATTACGTGGAGCAGCGTATCTCAAGCTGTGATGGGCTGTGAAAAGCATGTGGTCCCCAGACGTTCTTCTAGGCTATATTGATTTGTATGTCATGCTGTTGGCAAAGTGAGTTTCCTGCCCACATGTTTTCAGGAGAGCCTGTAGCATCTGCAAGAACACCTAGAGTCCATTCTTTGCTCTGCCTAGTTCTGCTGTCTACAACATACGTACACAAAGTCATTGTGCTTTTGAGATTGGAAGATTTTTTTTTTTTGTCTCTGGGAAGGCATATATTAGCATGTCAGGCCCAAATGAAGTTGAAGTGGTTTTTATATAGGTGAATACCTGAAATAGTTTCAAATTGGGATATTGTTTTCTCTAAAATAATCATTGCATTGTGTTTCATGGTGTCCTATCAGCACACTTGCTGAATGTCTTGCAGCTGAGATGGGTTTGGTATTCCAAGCTGGAGTTACTACCTGGAGCTAAAGTGCCTGAAATCATACCTTGATACTGTCAATCAGTCACTGATATAACTATATTTCATGGTATGCTTGATATTACACCTGTGTGGGTATACATCAACACTTTTTGCAGTGGAAGCTTGCAGTCTGTTATTTACTTGAAATTGTGTTGACTTTTCTGGTTTCTGTGATCACTGAGCTGTGCAGTCAGATGTTTGGTGCTTCAGTTTAAACTGTGAAAGCAATTCTGATAACTTTTCCTTATCTCTTCCTGCTCAGTGTCTCTCCCCCAGGTGGTGACTTCTCTGATCCTGTCACATCTGCTACACTGGGCATTGTTCAGGTATGTCCCATGACGTTGCAGTTCTTCGGTCCTCTTTGTTAGACTCAAAATGGTTGTGCTTTGGTGTGTTTGTGCCAGTGGCTGGGGTGTGAGAGCTTTGATTTGACATGGGCAGCTTTGTAGGGTGCTTTGGAAAATGTTCTAACAGTGTAAAAGGTGACCTTATGAGATGGTTTCTGAACTGATGAGATCTCTTTGAAAGAGGGAGTGAAGGCAGCAATTCCTTCCAATGCTGACTGCTCAGGAATATCAGTGTGCTTCCTGACAGCTGCCCGTTGAGCTGCCCTTCAAATGTGACTGCCCTCAGCTGAGATGGAAAGTGAACCACTCTTAATAGGTGCATCGAATCCCCAGAGCAGCTGACTGGAAGAAGAATGTCTTGCAACTGATTGCCCAGCACTGTTTTGGGAAAAGGAGTTATGCCTAATAGGGCTCCACTTAATTACACTCCAGTATTGTCTTTGTTATGGCTGACTTCTCCCTTGTGAGGAGTCTCAAGCTGAGTAAGTCTGAACTCAGCTTAAAAGATGCTTAATTTTTTGAGAGGTGTATTTGAAAGTCGCTGCTATAGTAAGGCTTTCCCTTCCTGTCTCAAGCATTCGTGGTAGCCTTTGCCATGTTGCATATGCTCAAACTTACTTTCTGTATTGTTGGGGTTTTTTTATTGCCTTTAATTATTTTTGTTCGGTTTTGATTTGGAACACTGGTTGATCTTTCTGGCTTCTGGCAGGTTTTCTGGGGCCTGGATAAGAAGCTGGCACAACGCAAGCACTTTCCTTCTGTCAACTGGCTGATCAGTTACAGCAAATACACACGTGCCCTGGATGAGTACTACGACAAGCATTTTACAGAGTTTGTCCCTCTCAGGACAAAGGCCAAAGAGATCCTACAGGAGGAAGAGGACCTTGCAGAGATTGTGCAGCTTGTGGGGAAAGTGAGTAAACAGCTATGAGGAAATGTGCTATCAATGAGTGATCTTTCATGTCCTTACTGCTAGTGCAGGCTTTTGACTGTGTCTTAGACCAGTTTTGATGGATGCTGCACTGTGCAAAAAAGGCAAATGGTCACCAGGAGATGTCAAACTCTCCTGCCTCTAACTGTGCTTTATTCCAGGTTTCATGAAAATACTGGAAATATACTTTTTTAGATTTGATAAACCTTGGCTTGATGCTACTTTTCTCATGTAAATTAAAATCATACAATCATTAGGTTGGAATAGACCTCTAAGATCATCAAGTCCAACTGTCTACCTAATACCACCATGCCCACTAAACCATGTTTAGAAGCGCTACATCAGCACGTTTTTTAAACACCTCCAGGGATGGTGA